GAAAAGATCTACACATTTCTTAAGTTCCCTTCCAGGCATTTTGTGTCATGTTATTATTTAGAATGGAACTGTTTGCTTATCTCCCCCCCCACCGTCCATGGGGATGGCTGGTATATAAATAAGATTGCTACTGACATTTGTTGACTTTGTCCTATATCTGACTATCTTAGTCCCTTTATAATTATTTAAACTGTTTCACTATGGGACTAATACATTTTTACTATAAAAAACTTTGAGTATACACATAAAAAAAAAATTTAAGTCAATGGAAGTCCCACCATGAAAGGTAAGCAACCACTACTAACAGCTGTGTATGTATCCTTTCAGATAGTTTTCTCTATGGTGCATCATAGATTTAAATCTATTTTATAAAAAATGGATCACACTGTGCATGCTGTTTTATTATAATATACGTACACATAAATATTTACTACATGTAGGCTAATATTAATCTTGTAACATTGTTATCAACCGTCAACATAAACCTCACTATTTAAAGATCAGGATTCAGAATTATTCAAAATATAAAAACTAAGAAATGGTTGGAAAAGACATGACAAAATAAATGAGAATCAGAAGAAATCATAGCTATAACTTCAGACAAACCTGAATTCATGAGAATAAAAGTAAAACAAATAAAAGTAGATTATTTTTCACTAATAAATGTTTGCTTACAATATGGAAATAACAGGCTTTTAGGTTGTAAATATTGCAATAGCTATGTTAGTAGAGATGCATCAAACTCATTTTTTAAAACAGAACGATAAATAGATAGAAATTCAATAGTATCATCAGACTGTAACAGCATCTCAGTCCTTTCCAGATTTAAAAAAAATTAGAGGGCTAGAAAAATCCAAGAGGATGAAGGATGTGTTTTTTTTTTGTTTTTGTTTTTTAAAAACACACATTGTGAGCATCTTTATCTTTCCAGACCAATAAGCAAATATAGAAAACAGTGTTGCTCAATGTTTTTAAAAGTCCATGCCACCTTGAAATAAACTTTAAAAATCTCAAGCCTGCCTTTAATGCTTGAAATAAAAAATAAATATTATGAACTTAAAATATTAAAACAATGGCAGATTTGGGGAAATTTTTTTGCTTCAAAACTCTGATCAACATCAGCTCTGAGTATTCTGGCTCGATGGCTCTTTTGCCTTCTAGCCCGCACGGAGGGGAAAGAACTTAGTGGGGCCGTGCTGATCTAACTGCTTTGCCCTCCGCCACAAGTGGAGAAAACCCAGCTTTGTAAATGTAGGCTGATGACATGAGTGGCACTCAAAGCCCACTCATTTGTTTTGGAGTAAACAGGGAACTATTTTGCTCAAAATTACTTCAAAGTGATTTTCGGGAAGTAGTTATTTTGGCAACTGAACGAAACCTGAGTTCCAGACACTCCCAAGGAAGATCTTCTGGCAATGATCGAATGTAGGTGTGAAAAGGAGTCCTCACCAACTCCAAGTGGATTTTCCAGCTGTGAGTTGAGAAGCTATCATCCAAATTTATTCTTCAGACAAATTAAGTAAAAAATTTCCCCTCTCTGAATTCATCATCAGGAGCCTGCTTCTTGAGAACTTTGGTACTAGTCAGAAAATTCGGGGCCATGTTCGGTACAGCATAATGCTTAGGAGAGGGGACTTGGGTATCAGACTGGGTTTGATCTTGGCTCTGCCAATTATTAGCTGGGTGCCCTCAGGCAAACTACTGAGACTGTTCTGTTCTCTGTATCTTTACCAGTAAAATACTATATGTACCCACTTCAGATGACTGTGTTAAGTACTACATGAGTCAGGTGAGCATCAAAACAATATCTAGGTTGCAGGAACAACTGGAAAAATGTCCATGAGTCTTAACAGCACAGCTGGACTTTGGCTGCAAAATTTTATGTATTAATGATGTTGGGTTTTCTCCCTTGAAGTTTCAGTTCTTTGTAACTTCTAATACATCTTCCAAACATGTTATGCTTTGTGGATTGTGTGCAAGTTTGAAGCACTTGCTTTCGCCCGTATTATCTCAGAAACAGAGTGACATTACTCTTTAGCTCAAATCTTTCCACGAACTTCTCCTTCTGACATGACTGAAAAGGTCTAACAGAACATGAGGTAATAAGTATTCCCCGATTACCGCTTCTCATATTCAGTTTCAATTTTAAAAAATAAAATCTTTAATTCATCTGGGATGTATTTTAATGTATAAGTTTTGGATTTAAGGGTCATTAAAACATTAACCAATGGTTCAAAAAGTACTTCTTGAATAAACCAACGGTCCCCAATGACTTGGAAATCTATCACACAACAAAATCTTGTATGTGCGTATCACACTAGCCGTCTATTTCCTAATGTTCTCCCATTGGAACTGAAGTATCACAAAGGGGCTTGGTTGCTTTGGTTCACCACTGGATCACCAGAGTGATGCTTGGCTCATAGGAATAAATGGCTTCCCTTTTTTTATCTCTCAGTGTGATTACCATATATTGGTTTTCCAATGATAAACAAATGCTACATTATTGAAACAAATATGAACTGATCATACTTAAGATTCTTTCAATATGCTATCAGGTTTCATTACTAGTATTTGACTTAAAATTTCACATATGTAGTTTTAAGTGAAAGTGTTCACAACTTTTAAGAAAAAGAAAAAAACAGAATTTTGCCATAGTCATCCTAGCTTCATAAAATAAACTGGGAGGTTTTCCATATTTTTTCATGATTAAAATAGATTAGATAGCACAGGAAATATCTGTTTAAGATTTGACAAGAATTAACAATGAGTATGTCTAGAATTTGCACTTTGGGGGAAGAAAAAAATCTTTCAATTCTATTTTTGTCAATGTCATTCACAGTGTTAGTCATTTTGAGTCAATTTTGGTTATTTTTTAAAATTGAGTTTCGGTCACTGATTTTACAGATTGACTTTATTGTCACAGAGTTAAAATATTAGGCTTGAAATATATATTTTTAAAGAATTCCCTTTGCATCTACAGTCATATATTCTTTTTTTAAAAGGTGTGCCTCTGGATCATATTATGGTTGATTAAAAAAATCCATTTGAATCCTTGTCTTTTAACAGAACAGGGTAGTCACTGTATGGCATTAAATATGTTGTTTTAATTTTAAGCTATACAGTATTCCGCTTATTATACATTCAAAATGCCCCCCCCCCCC